CTATACATCAGTCACCAACATTAGCACCCGTCATCACAGTTTAAAACAAAAAGAAGCAACTATGGGAACTCTAAAATGGCTCCCCCAACGACCTACGTCGTCCCTAACATCTACTCCTCTCTTTCACCACCGTCGTCCGAGCTGCTATCGTCCAGGTAGGGAATAGGTCCCACCAATCGACCATCTACTAGCACAAAAATCGATATAAAACGGTATAGGACATGGCCTCTCGGGGCTCCTATGTCACTCCATAGTGTTGCAACATAACATACGAATACAACCGAAGGGAACACACGAGGGAACACACGATCAGTAAATTGATACAGCTCCCCTTCAAAGGTAACGGGAACTCCGTAACGGGCGATGGGTGAGGCAGGGATCACAAGCATGACTAAAAATCTGTAAAAATAGATATCAACGGGAGTGAGCTAATGCTCAACAAGAGATAAGACTAGCTTATAAACCGACTGATCCTACTAACTCTCGATTCTTAGGACACATCTAACAAGAAATAATTAATGTATCCTATCATGAACGTATACCATCCGAAAGCAACATCCGTAATCACATGTATCATGCATCATGGCACTAACCATATCAAACGTCCTCAATTAAACTCATTTCCAGATCATTGCTAACACAATATAATAGCAATCTGTACGAGACAACTTAACAATTTGCAATAATACCACAAACACATGCCACATTATTTCAATGGTTCACTTGTTTAGTCTCACACCCGACTCACGGATTATGCCGATTATCCACCGGTCCGCGCAAGGCACTCCTGATTATGCTGATTTACTAATTGGTCTGACCTTTGTGGCTTATCGACCACATGTATCTCTACTCAAAGCATCGCGATTTGCTAATCACGGCATCCCCGCACATAGCTTAGGGGCATCCCGACCTCCTACGGGACATCATCGACGCAAGGCCCGATGGACATCTCTTATAGTGTATTCATATCACACAACTCAAGCACTTACTTTTATACATGCAGCAACAAAACCATTTCACGCCATATATTTCATCATATCCAGCAGATACATTGAATAGCATGTACCATAAAAGTGATTTAATATCTTAGTATCACACACTAGTTATTCATATCCAAAATTTTCAGAATTTATCATCACAAAGGTGACCTAATTTGCATCATCATATGACATCGTATCAAGGCCATTCATGCCTCATTGAATAGCCCAAAGTGTGTGGGTTTTATCTCTAGAAGACATTGAATCATGATTTGAACATTTTCACGTAGAAAATAGTGAGTCTTTACAAATGGTTGAAACTGGGCAGTTTTGTATAGTAAATGAAATCAGAGCTAAAACCATAGTAAATGACCTCGAAAAATTCTGATATTTGAATATGTCATAGAAAAGATCTTAAATGACATTTCTCATGAGAGTGCAAAGCCTAGATCACTCTGAAACCACGGCTTTTTGTCACTCAAAGACAGACCAAAATCAGTCCGCTGGAACAGAATGTTTGCTTCTCAAAAGATACCCATTTCACAACCCATACCTTCTCAAAACATTTTGGAAATTTTATATGACATAGAAAATGAAGTCTTCAACAATTTTTTGAAGGAAATTTGTTAATAATTGTACCGGAAAAATTTATGGAAAACCGAGAAGGTGTAAGGGTCGCAAAATCTGCAGTTCTGGGCAGTGTAAACCCGGTTTGAAAGTTGCTCTTCATTTGACCCAAACAAACTCCAAAAATTCCAGATTTAAAATATGTTAATCATGAAGATGTGGTGAAAAAATTTTGTGAAATCCCCAAATTTGACTCAAAAAAACTTCCACAAAATTAGCAAGCAGAAGAGTACAGAAACTACTAATCTGGGTTTCAAAACCAAACTTCAAGAATTCAAACCCTAGTTGATACCCACAAAATTTTGTTCAACTAAACTCAAATCCAGAGGTCTAAACAGAGATGCAACAGCCATTTCCACCTCCATTCAACAATAAAAACCCATCTTTCACACATGCAAGTCAATACAAGTGCTTAATACTTACATGCAAAGCCATCCATAGCTAAAAGACACACATGCATGCACTCTACAACTCACGAAATACACATGCACACACATTCCAGGTCTGGTCACCCACATGCACACCCATATGACATCAAAAATCTCACATGCAAACCCAAAACATCAATCCACAGCACTATAAAAATCAAGGGCGTGGGAAGATCAATTGGCTTAGAAACAAGCCCTATCTCCTTGCCTTGGGTTATCTAGGACCGGCTTTGTTCTTCCTCAAGCTGTTGGCCAAGTCTTCAAGTGAAGAAAAGTGAAAGAAAGTGAAGATGAAAGGGAGGGAGAGGTCTGGCTGAGAGAGATGAGAGAGTAAGAGAGAGAATTCATTGGATGGCTTCTTGAAAAATAAGGGGGAAAGTGAGAGAGAGAGATTACCGAGAGGGTATAGGGAGAGAGAGAGAGAGTGAAATGATGGGTCTTGCCGTTCATCATTAGCCCCAAAGTAGAGTGTTAGACAAGCTTCTAACTCTTGCATGAAATCTCATTGGCGGGCCATACATGATTATTTTCCAAAGATTGACTTAATTTTCATGCAAAATGGTCCTAGGTGGCCAGCTGCACGTGGGGTATTAGGGGCACAATTTGTGTCCTATATTGTGTAATTTGAGTGCACCTAATATCCACATAAGATATACATTAATGGCCATTATCGCTAATCATCTTAAATAATCACTATACATGTACATTGTAGACATATATAGCCGAAAATAAGCCTCCTCAATTGTCCAATGAATTTCCATAAGTGTTTCGACAATTGTATAATTAAACCATGGCCATCACTAATCAGTTATGCGGATTTCAGGATGTCACACAGAGAGTGAGGATGAGGTTGTAAGAGAGAGGAGACATGTTAGAGTAGGGAATCTGATTTCGCAATTGTCAAGGCAACCTCAAGAAAAACGATGGCATGTTTCGATTCACCGAGAACCGAACAGAGAGACTCCACCCTAAACGAGAATTTGCAAGCCAAAAAAAAAACAAGACAAGAAAGAGAGAAATAGAGCCAGACCCACAAATCATTGCACCCGTGAAAGCTAATACAAACCAAGGAAGGAACTCACGAACCTTGTAAAAAGTGCGAATATTGATGCACAGAGAGGGAGAGAGAGAGAGAGACGAAACCTTGCGAGGAAGCAAAACCACTCATGGCTCCTTGCCAGAGATGGAGCTTGAACTCGTCCGATTAGAGCTACGGAGAAGAAGATGCTTTGACTCTAGCTGCTTTCGTGAAGTGTTTTCGTAAAACGTCGATGTGAGAGGAGACGTGTGAACGAAGACGGAAAAGGAGAGCGTAGGGTTTCTAAAAAATAGCTGGACAAGAGAAATCCTATCCGGGTCTATCCTACCTCCCCCCTCTGATTTTTTTGTCCAATCTCTATCCCCTTTATATCCGACGTTATCCCATCCTGAACAATCCTAACTTTTATCCGGACTACCAAATGAAGCCTTAGGATTTAAATCACATTTTACTAATTTTTGTCAATGAATCTATGTCAGTGAAGTTCACATAGGATTTAATTCACAATTTACTAATTTTTTTGAAGAAATAAAAAATTTTAAAAAAAGTATATGTAGCCGGTCCGGTCTAGTCGGTCCGATTTGGCCGGGTTCCAAGGGGAAACCGGGAACCAAATTGCTCGAAATTGGGAACCAGACCGAACCGAGCGGCTCCCGATTTAGGCGGTCCATTTTGCACACCCTAATCTTAAATTTATCTAGCACTTTAGTTTAAACTGATAGCTTATCAATGGTGGAAGTTATCACAAGCCGGACTTAGAGTCTGTGCGCTGTGCGGGACATCATGGAGGAATGAATGTTTTATTTGGTCTAGTTGATATCCGTCAAAGTAGTATTATGCCCCTGCGAGGCCAATCAATTAGCAGATTGGATAGCAAAGGCCCAATATAGACATAGGCATACCCTTCCCCAAAGCAGGTTACTTTCACCACCACAAGCTTTTCGGGATTTGTATGTTTGGAAACTCAAATGTCACATTTTATTAGTTCTCGTTAATGAATGGAAGTGCGAAAAACCCGTAGTAGTAACCAAATTGTCTTCTTCCTTTCCACTTAGCAATATTTACTATCTGACTAAGGGTTTAATTGATAAAATTGAAAAAGAAGTTTTGCAAATTTAAGCATTCGATTTAAGTATTGATAATCTGGACCGACAAAAATAGGAATAAAAACTTGTTCAAAGATAATTGGAAATTCATGACCGGATATAATTAATTCCTTACCAAATGTTCATTCTCATACGAGAAGACTTTTCCTTCTATATAAGTCAATATGCTTTTTCCTTTCTTTTGTTCATCCTAAATGTTCATTCCCATGTAAGATGACTTTTGCATGATATGAGTATGTTTGAAGAAATTCGAATAGGGCGCAACTAACTTGAAATTGACAAAAATTGTCTCATCCATTATTAATAAAAAAAAAAATTTGATACTAATGATGAGAATATGGGGACGCAGTATTACTTGTGTATCACAATCTTTCTGTGGAACTGATGTCGGCCTCATGAAAAAAGCTCCATTTAGGTTGCATTTTGTCACGCCCCGAACCCCGACAGATTCGCGACACCCCTTTGAAGGTCATATTGATCGCGATGTCCCAGGACGCGTCGTCGACCCTAAACGAATCACCCAAGGTAGTACGTAGGCGGAAGCAAAATTTAAACATCCCAGATAATAAATAATGACAACTGGGTAGAACAAACGCAAATCAATAAATACATAACATTAGCTTGAAATCACAAATATTCATACGTTAGGCCCCTATGGTTAATATCCACCTTCGTCATAAAAAAGGAACAGGTGGTCAGGTAGACTACTGACTACATAAAAAGGGACTCTACCAAAAAGGCTTCCAGGCCTAACACCTAAACATCCCTACGGCGCCCAATCCGAATCGAACCCCGAAGGCTCTGACTCCGTGTCCGAGTCGATCTAGATCGGCTCCTCCTCATGCTCGGACACCATAGGCTCCTCCTCGGGCTCGGGCTCGGGCTCAGGCTCGAGTTCAGGCTCTGGAACGGGCTCAGGTTCTGGCTCTGGAACGGGCTCAGGTTCTGGACCAGGGTTTTCCGGTGGACTGTCGGGATCCGTCACCTCACCATCGGGAGTAAACTTGTCCCAGGGCTCCCAATTCACCGCACCCTCGTTAGCATGCTGCAACCCCTTAAAACCCCGGATTGGCCCAGTAGTCACCAACTCGATCCGATGGGACCAAGCCAAATAGGTATGGCGTTGCAGTTCCTCTAATCCCACGTCTACCCCAACAGTGGTGAGATGCCTAATGTACGTCTCATCCGGGCTCAGTCCCGGATATTCGATCTCCTCATGCACCGTATGCATAGGAATCCCAAAACGCCTAGGTGGCGACTACTCAAGGTCGGGGATTTGAAAATATTTGCACTACAGTAATGAGAATAAATCTCAATAAGTAGACAACCTATACCCCTCCTAGGTCAATGCATACCCAGACAAGTCTAACATGCAATCTACCAGCCAACACAATCAATTCCACACAACATATTTACTTCGCCTCGAACTACATGTCAACTCTGCATATTAGAATATCCACCATAAAGCAATAGTAATTCAAGAACATAACATTGCCACTCAAACGCCATAACCACGTACATTCAATCAATTCAATCACACTCAATTTGCATTCGTGGCCGAGCAACTTTCTCACGACCTCCTAGGTCCTTTCACACTGCCCATGTTAACACGCCTCAGGCCAGCCCTCAGATTAAGCCGGGCTCTGTCCCTCACCGGACCTTTCACACTTTCGCATGACCCACGTAAACACGCCTCAAGTCAGCCCTCCGATAAAGCCGGGCTCAGTCCCGTGTAACCACGCCTCAGGACATTTCTCTCGACCCGCGTAACCATGCCTAAGGTCATTTCTTGCCTTTTTAGCCACACTCGCGTAACCACGCCTCCGGTTGGCAGCCCTCCGATCAATCCGAGCTCAGTCCCGCGTAACCACGCCTCAGGACATTTCTCTCGACCCGCATAACCACGCCTCAGGTCATTTCTTGCCTTTCTAGCCACACCCGCGTAACCACGCCTCAGGACATTCCTCATGCACATGCACCACAACACAATTTGCCATCTAACACGCCATACAGTTCACATTCAAATCACCAAGCTTTCACCAATGTCAATTTGACACGCCATAACACCCAATTCAAGTCATGCTCCCCACATCGGCCTACCGATCCGGCATTCAAGTCGGTACATTCAAATATTCCATTTCACCCATAAATGCCACGACAACTCGATCATGTCACCCATCTCATTCAATCACTAAATTAGCCACACAATCACCACCACAATAATCCATAAATTGAGCACATTCAATTTAACTAATCCACGCCTAATTTAATCCCTAATCCGGTACTAATCACACCCTAAACAAGTCTAAAAATACTCATTATACTAAGTAGGGTTTAGGAAGTCACTTACCTAGGTTCCAAGCCAAAGGGGACCAAGTAAGGATGGGCAAAATGACCGGTTGGATCGGCGTCTGGCTCGGCGCGGCGGTCGGTACAACGGTCGGCCATGGGCAAAATTCTCGCCGTGGCCCACGGCCACGGGCAAAATTCTCGGTCGCGGCAGGGCACGGCGATAGGCGACGGGCACAGCGATGGGCACGACGAGAGACGGCTGGTACGGCGACGGGCCACGGCCGGGCGAGCGGCCAGGTGAGCAGGCCTTTGGCCAAGACTGGGGCAGCGGCTTGGTTGGGTGGCTGGGCAGATGGGGACGTGGTTGGAGAGCAGCTGGCGTGAGGCCAGGCTAGCGAGCGAGCTGGCCGGCAAGCGAGCGGGGCGGGGAGCGGACGGCGAGTGTCACATCCCGATTTTTGGGCCTGGAAAGCCGCAGGTAAATTATAATATCCTCAATTTTAGTTCCTGGGAAATGACTATGGTTTAAGTTTGGTGGTTTTCCAATTGGAACCAAGTTTTTACTCTTGTTTTGAAAAACCCTATTTCGGATCCTTTATACCCCTTCGTTTTGTTTTTTTTGGGGAGACTTTTGTGATCCGAATTTCCAAACACTTTATTCTTGAAAGTTGTTCCAAACATAATGAAGTTTTATATACTTTAATTTCAAAATTTTTGGAGTTGATATGAGTGGTACGATGGCCTGATTTTCGGACCGTGTGAAACTGCCCTCCAAGCCATATCTTCTTGTCATCATTACCAAATCTTTCTAGATTTTGCCATGATTACAAAATCTTCCTTCATTAATGTCTAGATTTAGCCATCATTACCAAATCTTCTAAGATTTTGTCATCATTACTTTGATTTTGGAAATCCTGGCTATTAATGAAGAAAGGCCAAAATGTCATGATGAAATGATCTTGAGAATCTAAGTCATTAATGAAGTAAGGTCAAAACATCATGATGAAATGCCTTTAAAGTCTAATGCCATTAATGTCGCTTCTTGAGCAAGATTTAATCTTAGCCATAGAACCTAAACTTGGGCTCTAAGTTTCAATCTAGGTTTTAGGTGCCTTGATTGACCATACTAGTATGACCTATAACTGACCCTCAGATCGGTCCATACACTATTTCTATGGTCAAATATAAGAATTGGCTTGAATGGTCGAATGCTCGTGTGACCACTAAATAAAAGAAGAAGACCGTCGTGTTAGCGGCGATGCCTCGGTAAACTAGCGTCAGGATGCCCTAATTGAGCTAGGATGCCTGGGTTGAGCCCAGATTCCTCGGTAAACTAGTGCCGGGATGCCCTAGTTGAGCTAGGATGCCTTGGTTGAGCATGGATGCCTCGGGTGAGCTAGCCCCGGGATGCCTCGGTTGAGCCGGGATGCCTTGGTTGAGCCAAGATGCCTAGCATGAATGTGGATGCCTCGGTTGAGCCGGGATGCCTTGGTTGAGCCAGGATGACGATAATGAATTCTTTATGTATGTCGATATGTGTGTATTGATAAGCCGAGTTTATGTGACCGGATGAAGGTAAGCTTCCATGTGAACATAGCAAGGGCAAGGTCAAAGTCTTTGCTATTGATGTGCCATCGACATAAGGCAGGGAAACTATTTGTATGCGTTAGTACAATGGCGAGGCATCATCCTGCACGAGTATTAGTGAATTTACTCATTGAGTCTCCCCGACTCATCCCCCGTTGTTTCACTTTTTCAGGTCCGTAAATTGAAGGATGACATAGAGGAGCCAGGATTAACCTTGGCCTCCGCTTGTAATATGATTTGTACGAGGAACGGTCAGTGGAAAAAGGGCTTGTAAAATCTGTTTAAGTAAAATGGAAATAGCATGTTATGCCTGTTGTGCTTTCCTTGATTTCAAGCTGTTATATAAGGTTTGCTTATGATGCTGTTTGTCTTAATCTCGCTGTTGTTCTTAATGTGATTGTTCCGAAATTGTGCTTCTGCTTATGTTTAAAAAAAGATAACAATGAACGGGATGTCACAAAGTAACCCTCAGGTTATGGTCTTGGCCGGGGCATGGCTGAGGTGAGGTAAGGGCGTTACAACGAGCTACTGGGCGACCCAGCGACGATGGCGACGGCGAGCTGGGCGGCGAAGACGGTGGCTGAAGGGAGTTAGGCTGGTGGTGGTGGGAGCAGCGGCGGCGGCCAAAACGGCGGCGTGCGGCGACTGGATGAGGCAGAGCCGGGCAGGGAGAAAGAGGAGCTCGGGGAAGGAGAAACACGGGAAGGAAGGTCGGTGGCAGGAACGGCAGGGCCAGCGACGGTCGGGGGTGGCATAGCGACGCCACAAGCAGCGGAGCGGAGCAGAACGGCCGACTGGGCAGCGCCGGGCCGTGATAGGCGCGGCGGCGGTCGGGCGCAGCTAGCTTTAGCAGCAAGCTAGGCTCGCGGAGATGATAGTGACGGACGGTGCGGCGGCAATGAAGGACATACGGTGCGGCGGCGGTCGGGCGCGGCGAGCAGCGGTCGGGCGAGTAGCAACAGAAGCAGAACTAGTCGGGCGGAAAGGAAGACCAACGAAGAAGAAGAAGAAGAGAAGAAGAAAAGGGGAAGAAGAAAAGGAGGAGAGAGAAGAGAGAGGGGACGTTGCATGGGGCAGAGACGGAGAGGACGCGCGTAACTGGAGGGGCAGACGCGCGCGTAGGGTGTGCGCGGTAGAGAGAGAGAGAGAGAGAGAGAGAGAGAGAGAGAGAGAGAGAGAGAGAGAAAAGTCAACGCGATGATTACAATCCAACGGCCCACGTTCAAACCCAAAAATGATCCAACGGTCCACGAAAATCCTAATTAATTATTAGGAAAAAGGGCCAAAAGAAAATAACCTAAAACACACTACGAGGGAGGTCTATTAGTCCAAATCCGCACCCGATCGAAATTTCACTTTTCACGTATCCCGGGCAATATCGAGGCTGGCCACAATAATATCGACACCGTCCAATTAAATTCGTCCCGGAACTCCGAGAAATTTGACACTAAAGTTTGGGCTCTAAATAACGGTCAAATTCGATTGAGCGCGATTCTAGCGAAATCTCTAATTTAAAAATAATAACCCGAGAGTGATCAGTTTCGAGCAAGATTTTATTATAAGCGCACTGACGAAATACACGTTTTATAAATCCCAAAAATGGGCCGAAATTCAGAATGTCACAACTCTTCCCTCCTTACAAAAATTTCGTCCTTGAAATTTACAATCCAACCCGACTACTCGAACAAATGGGGGTATTGGTGTCGCATCAACTCTTCACTTTCCCATATCGCACCTTTGGTTCCATGGTGCTCCCAAATTACTTTGACCATTGGAATTGTCTTATTCCGCAACACTCGCTCCATTTTATCCTCGATTCTTACTGACTTTTCCACGTACAACACTCTGTCGTCCACGTTTATTTCTTCGTAATTCAACACGTGGGTCGGGTCCAGTTCATACTTCCTTAACATAGACACATGGAACACATTGTGAACTTGGGACAAATTAGACGGTAGCGCGAGACGATAGGCCAAAGTGCCAATTCTTTCTAAGATCTCGAATGGACCCACGTACCTCGGGCTCAACTTCCCTTTCTTGCCAAACCATGACAATCCTCTCATAGGTGATACTTTGAGGAAAACGTAGTCCCCCACTTGAAATTCCAAAGGCCTATGTCTCCGGTCTGCATAATTCTTTTGGCGGCTCTAAGCGGTCTTGAGCCTATCCCGTATCATCTTGACCGTTTCGACTGACTGTTGAACCAACTCGGGGCCCGTGATGCTCCTCTCACCAACTTTGTCCCAACAAACTGGTGTTCTGCAAGCTCTGCCATATAGTGCTTCAAATGGTGCCATTCTGATACTCTGTTGGTAGCAATTGTTGTAGGTAAATTCCACCAAATGCAATTGT